AGCCTAGGGTTTCGGCTACCGAATTTGGCAGCAGATCTGCCGGAAGATGAACGGAGAAGCGACGATAAGACTCTCCGAGACGCCATGAGTGTGAGTGTTGTGTGAAAGAGGAAATGCTAGGGTAACTACAGAACCTGGATCTAGCTTCACTGGTTCTGTTTTGGGAAATTTCCAAAAGTTTGGTGGGCTTCAATAAGGGGCTTATTTGGGCCTATAACGAGCATCTTTTTTTTTAATTAAAATATATGCAAAGAAAAATAAAAAAGGTAATTAAGAGGTCAAAGTTTGATTTTAAAGATCATGCCAAACACAAATACTATCGTGTATTTTCTTATGTGCTTCACTGTTCTCTTCATGAGGACCAGAACGCTATTATTTACGGTCAAGAAATTTCTGGCCATATAAATAGACAACTTTTGTACTTGACCAAAAAAAAAGTAGAACTTTGTAAAAGAAAATGTATATGTAATCTGAAGATCATGTACAGAATATGTAAGAGACATGTACATGTAATACGTAGCATAAATACAAGGGTGGTATTGGCTGAAGATCATAGTGCGACATCAAGATATGAGATCAAGATCATTAGTAAGACTTTCAGAAATGGGATGTTATACTTTATATACTGCTTAATGGTGGTTTTGAATTGATGATGATCACACCAATACTTGCACCATTCACTGAAGCAAAGAGACTGAGATCAAGAAATCATAATCTTATATTGCAATTAGAATCTGCAAGACTTATCCTTTATTTCAAGGAAGCAAATGAACCAAAAATCTGAGCAACAGTGATTGAATATGTTCAGCATCATCTCGTAAGCTCTCATGGAATTTGAACCGAAAGAAACTATAAATACGGAACTCAAATTCCGTTTGGTGGGGTGGGGGGGGGGACTCACAGGCTTTGGGTTTTTCTTTTCGTTATTGTCAAAATAAACAGAAGGATTTAGCATTCGAAAGAGAAGAATCCAGCTTCTAAGCTGCTGACTCCTTTGAGATCTTCTCTGCCTTTGCAACCACCTCATCGATACCACCAACCATGTAGAATGATTGTTCAGGAAGATCATCGTACTTACCATCGAGCAAACCCTGAAACAAATCAACCCCACAAGACGACTTGGGTCAGTTATTGGAAGCATTCCATTTAGCAATGTATGACAGAGTCAAATAAGTTCTCCTAGACCTCGACAACGCAAAGGATTAATCTATACTGGAAAACTATTCTAGCTCAACTCAAAATCCATGGCCGTTAGTTGTGAGGGAGCACTAAAAGCTTTTAGGAACTCACAGCAACTCTTATGCTTATCATAAGTTTATAGCCAAACATTGTTGCGTGTATCACAATGAGGTGACTGCCAGAATGCATATACCTGGAAACTGTTGATGTTTTCTTTAAGGTCGACATATTTTCCAGGGGCACCGGTGAAGATTTCAGCAACATGGAACGGCTGACTCAAGAATCTCTGGATCTTACGGGCACGGGCAACAGTCAGCTTGTCATCTTCACTTAGCTCATCCATACCCAAAATAGCAATAATATCTTGCAAATTCTTGTAGTTCTGTAGCACTTTCTGCACACCACGAGCAGTGTTGTAGTGTTCCTCACCCAGAATGTGAGGCGACAGCATACGGGATGTAGAATCCAGAGGATCCACAGCAGGATAGATACCAAGCTCAGAAATCTTCACATGGGCAAGTAAAAAGTATACGGATGTCAGCTTTATGAAGCATTACAAGGACTGCATAACTATTTCGAAAAGGAAGCATCAGAAGGAGACAAGTTCACACCTGTCTTGACAGCACAGTTGTGGCGTCCAAGTGAGCAAAAGTTGTGGCAGGAGCAGGATCTGTCAAATCATCAGCAGGGACATAGATGGCTTGGACTGAGGTAATAGAACCTTTCTTGGTGGTTGTGATTCGCTCTTGAAGAGCACCAAGATCAGAAGCCAGAGTTGGCTGGTAACCCACAGCAGATGGGATACGACCGAGCAAAGCAGACACTTCAGAGTTGGCCTACACAAGACAGTAATTTAGCTCATGTTCCTGGAACCCAGGTGCGGAGAGATAGAGCAAACAACAAAGCTCACCTGAGTGAAACGGAAAATGTTGTCAATGAAAAGCAAGACATCTTGGCCTTCGGCATCACGGAAATACTCAGCAACGGTCAAACCAGTAAGTCCAACACGGGCACGTGCACCCGGGGGCTCATTCATTTGCCCATATACAAGAGCACATTTGCTCTCCAACTGTTAGATGGGAAAACAAAGTTCATTCAGCAACAAAGATCAATCAAATGCCTTTTGCAGGAAAGACTAAGTGAAGATTAATCGAAATTAATTGAAAACCTGCTTCTCGCCTAGCTTGATGACACCACTCTCAATCATTTCTCTGTACAAGTCATTACCTTCACGGGTTCGTTCTCCAACACCAGCAAACACGGAGAAACCACCTGTTCATCAGAAGAAGTACCAATTAATAAAATAAAAACTAGAAACCATTTGGCAAACTACTTAAAAGTACCCTGAGAGTACATACCATGAGCTTTGGCGACATTGTTGATCAGTTCCATAATGAGCACTGTTTTGCCAACACCCGCACCACCAAAGAGTCCAATCTTTCCTCCTCTTTGGTAAGGAGCAAGGAGATCAACAACCTAAAAGAAAACAGAAAGCAGCAGAAGTCAGCTCAGAACACGAAAAACAACACGTGTAATCTGTGGAAACAACGCAGAGCTAGAGACTGGATCTACCTTAATACCAGTAGCCAGAATCTCTTGACCGGTGGCCAAATCAACCAGAGCCGGAGCTTCTCTGTGAATGGGTAAGTAATGGTCGGTTTCTGAGAAACAGTAAGAACACATTGTCATGAAAGGTTCGCAAAAAGTGAGACATAGATCAAAAAGGCTTAGACTTCTTACTAATATCGCCTCTCTCGTCAATGGGTTCTCCAAGAACGTTCATGATACGTCCAAGTGTAGCCCTTCCAACAGGAACCTGAGTAGACAGAAAACAGCCAGACGTCAGATTGACCAAATCACAAGACATGAATCTACCGGAAAGAAATAAACTTTAGAGGAAAAAAGACTTAGGTAAAAAGTCAACGATAAGATAGAGGTCAGAAACCAGATAAACACAACGAGTAGAGTTGCCAGAAACGGATCCACAGATCTAGACCAAGATATGAAATGGCGAATAATGCCTCAAATCGAATCCTGATCACGGATCAACTGGACTTGAAAAACTCATAAACTACTTACAGTGATTGGAGCGCCAGTATTGAGAACGCGTCGACCACGAACGAGACCCTCAGTACCATCCATAGCAATGGTCCTGACGACATTTTGACCCAAATGATGAGACACCTCAAGCACCAACCTTGTCGGGTGATCCTGAACCTCGAGAGCTGTCATGATCGGAGGCAATCCTTCCTGATCTTCGAATCTCACATCAACAATGGCACCAATAACCTGGCAAACCTTCCCGATCGCACCTTTTCCACCATAATCATAAGTCTTCTTACCCTCATCCTTAGCCGGAGCAGACGATGATGCAGCCGAATTAGCCGGAGAAGAGGTCGAATACTCGGCGACTCGGCCAAGTAAGGTCCCACATGGAGCGACGCGACGCGCGGGTCCGGGTGATGGGAGCCTAGGGTTACGGCTCCCGAGTAAGGATGATTTAGAAGTAGATCTGCCCGAAGATGATCGGAGAAGCGATGATAAGATTCGCCGACTCGCCATGACTGTGTAACAGAGAGGAGAAAGATGGGGGCTAGGGTTATACTATTGAAACGT